AACAAACTCTGTATTTTGAGTGGAAATGTTAGGGGGTCGTCTTATACGCCCAGTCGTCTTATACACCGGCAAATACGGTACTATGGTTGCAAATATCAAAAAATTTCTATATGTGACATGGCACCAGAGTTAAGTTAGGGTTTTTCAAAATGCTGACGCACCGAGCTCAAAAGGTTCACCATCATTGCCATAGACTATCTCATTTAATTCATTGCAGTAGGGATTTTCTGTTTCCTAGATAAAGAAAGTAAAACTTGAATAGGTTAAGTCATTCATCCACATTCTTTTTTTAACTAGTGGCAAGAGCAGGGTTTCAACCTCAGGCATGTCGAACTCCAAAACTGAGGCTCCTAACCACTGTGCTAAAATATTTTTCTTTCTCACTGAATTGATTCTTTTAGGAAATTCAGAGTTCAGATGGTTGACCGCTTTTTTTTCATTTCACACCCACAACATGTAACAATCAAATTTCAGTATATTTTGAAAAAGCAGGGAAAATATCTTAGAGTCAAAAGAAAGTGTTCTTTATCCTGGTCTTCACAAGGAAATCATTAAACCTAATGGATTTTAAGTTACTCCTGAGTACCTTAATGTTTAAACATAACTTTAACTTGAATTTCTGCTCTAAAGTAGCACCAAAAAAAAAAAAAGGCAAATGAATTTTGGTTGAACTCATCTTAAAAACAATTTGGAGTTTGAGCTGTAAATCAAAGATTTAAGTTAGAGAGATAAAATGGTGAAAAACAATATCTAGAGAAATATTAAAACATGAACAATTTGTCCAGACTAAAGACAAATTTTAAATGTGGGAATCAACGTCCCAACAACTGTCTGGCTGAATAGAGCCCTGAGAAGCATACATGCTATTTGAAGCATGAGGGTCAGATCTTTTGATTATAACAAGAACACATGGTTCTCATTAAACTGAACACAGCCACACCTGAGTGTCTAAAGTGTGGCTAGCCTATCTGGCTGCCTCGACAGACCTTCAGCTGCAGTGTTTACAAAGGAAAGTGCCCCAAACTAATGACATGATTTGTTTTCAACCAAGTGAAGTAATTATATTCTCACTCTATCACCAGCCTTTCCAAACCCATATTTCAGATAGGCTTGACTAACATTTGTTAGACTATTTATGTGTTACCTTCACAAAAGCTCCTCTGTAAATTGGTCACTTCAGAATTCTGACATCTGTAATGTATTCCTTGTGTTGGATAAACTGACACACCCCCTCATAGCTCCTGCTTAGCTATAGGCCTCACCAATGCATGCACTTGAATAGAACATTGTAAATTGGGCAGTTATACCCTGAATTTTAAAATAAATAATTCCTCCTTGCCTTTCAAAGATCAGTGTATTCGCCTACTTATGAATCTCAGGAATGCTCAGCATCTGGGGCTGTGGTCTGAGCAACTATGTGGGAGACCCTGTGCAGTGGAACATGTTCGCATGATATGCCCCTTACACAAGTCATAGGCTAGTTCTTCATTTTATTGCAAAAAATAAAAAATAAGTAAATACAGAACAGGAATAGGCCAAATGATCAAAAATAGAAAGTTAAACTTGAGACCCGAACACCATGTGAAGCTTCAATCCACTTTGGAATTAGTTTATTTTGAAGAAAACCAAGCCACATTTCCTCTGGCTATGTACCTATTTTAAGCAATCCATAAAATAAAAACATAATTCACATCTCTAATCTGCAGAGACCCAGATCCATAATTCTGCAGAATGTCATCCCCAAATGGCCTATTTGGGCCACAATTATTCTCCTCTCTTTGGGGCTACTGGGCCTATGAAAGGGCTCTATGTGCTTGCTCAGTGGTTTGTCTTGGGAGTACTCACATATGCCTATTGTGTCCTAGGCACTGTACTTATTATTAAGCCCATGTAACAGATATGGAAATTAAAGGGCAGAAAGGTAAGAACTTGCCGAAAACCACTCACAATTAGCAGAGTTGGGATTTGAAACCCTCCTTGCCTTTCAAAGATCAGTGTCTTGGAATATCTTGGAGCCTGAATGAGTGGTCCTTGGCCAGAGACCTGGAAGTGTTTCCTCAGCAAAATATAGTTATGTATTTTTATTGTTTTTAGAAGAGAGATGTTTCTTGCCATATGTACTAAAGTCCATGACTTATTTTTTGTAATTAAATCTTTATTGTTCAGATTATTACAGTTGTTCTTTTTTTCCCCCATAGCTCCCCTCCACCTGGTTCCCACCCCACCATCTGCCCTTACCCCCTCACCACTGTCCTCATCCATAGGTGTACGATTTTTTTTCCAGTCTCTTCCTGCACCCCCCACACCCCTTTCCCCCCAAGAATTGTCAGTTCCCTCCCTTTCTATGCCACT